ATATAACCATTGGGTTCTAAAAATTTGAAGTAATTAACATACTAAAGGACAAGTTGAAAGAAGCTGAAAACATTGAACTCCCACATAGAGAAATAATAAAGCAGCTCAAGAAATTGTTCAGTGTATTTTGTACATCATTAATTTTTTTTTCCTTCAAATTATCATCATTTATATAAAAAATCTCATGAAAATTAAAATTTTGGTTATATTTGTTAAGAGCCCAAATCAAAGAAGTGGGCTTTTATGCTATATTTAATTACAATGATTTTGTCATTCTGAATCATTCATTTATTTCCGTCGTTGGCATAATACATTGCTGTTTAAGATAAGGGATATCTCAAACCTGTTCCCTAATTTATAAAATTTTTGTTAGCAAGCTAATGTTTAAAACATTCATCAGGATACAAAAGCAAATACCAATTATCAAAAACAAAACCTTTCAGATAAAATAAAATAGGATATTTAGAAAATATAAAATTTCATATTATTTCAAAAACAGAATAGAAAATATGAATTAATTGAATCTACGTGACGCTACAACCCTGTGTGGGTCTTGGCCTCCTCAATAAGCCGCCGCGATTCGGCCCGATTTTGTGTGCTGCTTTCCAGCTTATGATTCGTAGCAGGCTCCGTGCTTCCGCTGGCACTCCATCAACCTATCGAAGCCTTGGCCTAACAGGCCGTCCTGTACCGTGAAGGGCGGTGTCCACTTCTTTTCGAGGAATTTCTTCCGCTTCCATCCTTGCAACATGGACAGCCCAACTGAGCCTCCCCAGTTTTATAAACTTTACAACGCCCATAGCTCCGTAAAAGCCATAAAGCTCCCTGTTCCTCCTAATCCTCTATCTCCATCTCTCACTTGGCCAACTATTCGCCGTAAGATTTTTCTTTCGAAAATCAAAAGATTATTTTCATCACTTCTTGAGATGGGCCAAGATTGGAAAGCGTAGGTAAGAACAGGGTTTATAAGAGTCTTGTATATGACCAGTTTAGTGCCCCCGGTAATGGATCTGCTGCGGAGAGTTTTCAGTGAGGCAAAATATGCTCTATTTGCTGCCACCAGCCTTTTCCTTATCCCAGTAAAGACATCGTTTACTGGAGTTACTAGGGATCCCAAATACGTAAACTCGTTCACCCTTTGGAATGCGTAATGGCCGACACTCAGTGCTTCGTCACAATTAAGCGGACCCAACACGGTAATTCATGAATGAACGTCACAAGAAGTGCCAAGATTGCTCGATATCGCTTTGATCATGAAGACCCTTACACGTTCAATCATTACTGATCATTACTTATCGTTGCTGATACCAATTTAGCTCAGTTGTAAACAAAGAAACAGCATAGATATGCTTATTTGGACATTGTCATTTATAATATTGGGCATCAAGAGAAAAACGGAGAAATAATAATTACTTCCTAGTGCCTGAAAATAGTTTAGACCAAAGTTAGAAAAAATATAAGTCAACTACATACAAAAATCTAGGAAAAGTATTGCGAAAACAATCAATCTGTTAAGAAAAATGGAAAAATTAATGGCAAATAAACACAACATTTAAAGATTTTTTTTTCTATAGGTAAATTGTGAAGTTTCCACTTTTTTTTCTCTTCAATTTATTGCCTACTTGACTATTTAAAGAAAAAATAGTTGAAAATGGTTAATAATAATATAGACTAGGGATATAAACAACTATTTACTTTTATGAAATTATTTACTTAATAACGAGACCTAGGTAAACTAACCTATCTAGTAGTAAGGTTAGTCTCATAGAAAATCGTTTTGACTAAAGTTAGTAAAATATAAGTCTACTACTTACAAAAATTAAGGAAAGGTATTGCGAAAATAATAAATTTGTTTAGGAAAATGGGAAAAGAACTGATAAATATACACAACGTTAAAGTGTTTATTTTTTTTTTCTTAAAGTAAATTGTGAAGTTTCCTCATTTTGTTTTTTAATTTATTGCCCACTTGACTATTTAAAAGAAGTAGTTGAAGATGGTTTAAAATTATGAACAAAGAATATGAAAAATTATTTAACTATTTACATATAATGAAAATCAGAAATTTATAATGGTTGTGAGGCCTAGGTAACCTAACCTATCCAGTAGTATGGTTAGTCTCCTCACTACTTTTACCTCAGTCTCCCCTCCACTTCTCGTGAATGAACCTTTGATTTCGGGATGTTTGGAAATCCGCAGCGCACCACCATCAGTACTTCATTCACTACCTTACACGATAATTCGGAACGTCATTAGTGCAATTTCGAATGACCGTGTAGGGTCCGCATTAGTCCCTGTGTGCATATATTTCGTTTTATTCTCATTTATGGTCAATCTCATGGCTGAAGCAGCGTCCATGAGTTTCCTAAAGGCCTTTACCAATGACGATCGGGTCCTGGCCACGATATCCAGATCGTCAGCGTACCCCAATATCTGTACAGTACGGATGAATATCGTGTCGTCTGTCTGGATTCCTGAATCCCGTACAGCATTCTCCAGTGCAAGATTGAAGAGGAGACAGACAGTCCATCCCAATTATTATTAAAATTATTATTATTTCCTTTGTTGGAGGGAAATGCATCAGAGCAGTCAGACTGGATCCGTACCTGACACCTTACATTTTTCATAGTCAACTTCATGAGACTTATCAGTTTGCATGGGATACCCATTTCTCTCAACGCCTCATACAGCTTAGGTCGTTTGATGCTGTGATACGCACTCTTAAAGTCAACAAACAGGTGGTGTGTAGGGATTTTATATTCATGACCCCATTCCAAAATTGTCCTAAGGATGAACACTTGATCAACAGTGGATCTGCCTTTCCAGCTGGCGGAAGCCAGCTTGATATTTCCCGATTTCCCGTTCCGTAAATGGAGAAAGTCTGCTGAAAAGGATATTCGAGAGGATCTTGTAGACAAAAGACAACAGGGCTATGCCACGGTAGTTCGTGCAATCAAGTTGGTATCCTTTCTTATAGAGAAGACATATAGCATTAGCCCACAGTCGTGACACTCTTTCCTGATCCCAAATTGTCAGGACTATATCGGACAGAGCTCTATGCAACTCATCTCCCCCATACTTGAAGAGCTCGGCTGACAATTCATTTGGTCCTGATGCCTTATAGTTTTTATTGAATATTTAATGGTTGACCGTTGCATTATAAAGGAAGGAGATGGTCCGGGGTTGCGGTCATAAAAAGGCTAAATAGTGGTAAAACTATTTTATTGAAAGCCAACGTTTCGACCCGACTTTGCAGGTCTTCATCAGGGAGGTGTGTTCCTCTAGGAGTTTCACTTAGAACTGGTTTTAAGTGAAACTCCTAGAGGAACACACCTCCCTGATGAAGACCTGCAAAGTCGGGTCGAAACGTTGGCTTTCAATAAAATAGTTTTACCACTATTTAGCCTTTTTATGACCGCAACCCCGGACCATCTCCTTCCCTTATAGTTTTTAATGTGAAGAATTGCATCTATTACTTCCTAAAAGTACGGGGGCTCGATATCTCTAAGATTGTTAGGCATATCCTCTCCAGCAATGCCGTGTGCCTCTATATTTTCTAAAACCGCTTCCTCATTTAATAACAAACGGAAATGCCAAGCCCACCAATCTAGTATATCTGGCTTATTGGTAAGCAGTGTTCCATCTTCTTTCTTACATGTTTGAGTCCTAGCCTGAAAAGCGGCACGTCCACTATTGACCTTCTGAAAAAATTTCCTACTTTCTTTTACACTCCAATAGGCCTCTATATCTTCCAGCTCCTTTCTGTCCCATGCTTTCTTCTTATTCCTGAGGAGTTTCTTCTCCAGCCTTCTTTTATTAATTGAATAATAATAAATAAATAAGTATAATAAAGTTGCCACTAGGTAAAAATTTTTATTGTTAAATTACACAGCAGGCATAACAGATGATTTTATGACATCTGACAATGTAATTCATATTCCAAAATCTCTTAAATACATTACTTACCTCTTAATTACATTCCAAAGTGAAGTGTGATAATACTAACTACAGATAAAAATGAATTAAAAACTTTTCTTAAGGAAAATAATTCAATTGATTGGTTTTTGAATTGGAGTCGGACTAAACCAAATAATGACCACTGACATATAAAACAACTGAAACATTATCAATATTTTATATTTTAACCTATGCAAGAGTAGCCTATTAGATGTTAGTGACATCAAAAATGGAGAAAAAGCATTCCAACAAGCCCCACTCAATGAATGTATCGGACATGTGCAATAAATCGTCCATGAACTGTTGCAGGCTCTGCTTGTTGGAACACATCCAGTGTTAATCATGTTTGCCTTGACCTCAAAGTGATTTGGACAACACTCAAAAATTACTTTAAAAATTGCATAAATTGCATTTCTTACACATTAAAGGATTATTAGTGTTGAAAAAAGTGACTACATCACTTAAGATGAGACATTACACAAACGAATTTTTATTGAATCTGAGTTATGAATAATGTTGGATGCCATAAGGAATATATACCAAACCTTGATTTCTATATTGTGAACTTTAATAAATTTTAACTGAGTAAATATAACCAAGTCATCTTGAGTTGTAAGCGATATTTGACATTCACCACTGCTAGAAATAGAATACATTCATTCCAGAATGCAATTGAGACTGATAATATTGGTGCAGATTTTGTAAAAGATAAGCACTTTCAATGTTTGCAGTCTCAATGTTTAGTGATTCTACATTTTAAATGGTAAGGTTACACGGAAACAAACATAATACTAATTTTTATTTGTATGCATGCACAAAAAAAGATCCAATGATTTATTATTAACAGTGATAGAAGATAATATATTAAATAAGAACACCACACTGGTATCAGTCCTTTTAACAAATACAAATAAATAAATACCATTTCTCTCTAATTTTTAAATATACAAGTAGAATCAATAAACAATTCATTATTAAGAGAATCTTTAAATTGATGACATGATTAAAATCAAAACTTAATTAAATTAAATAAAGAATTAACTAACCTCTTTCATAGCGACGAAATGGAGTAGTCCTTTGAGGCTTTGGTGACTCTGAAATTTAAAAAGTTAAATAGACAAAGCTTATATATTGTCAGAAAATTATTAGATATACAGACAACAAAATATGTTTTGTACCTTTGTCTTTTTTCTGAGAAGAAACAGATTTATTCAATACTTTATCTAAGGCAATCGTAATATCATAGTTTGAATTGATAATAGTTTCAGAAAGAGTCTGTTCAGGAATTGAATCACCAAGAACATTCCTCATTTCATCCAAACAAGACATCAGTTTTGCTTTATCCAATTCATTTAAAGATAGAACTTCAGGTTTGTCATTAATTACTTCATCCTCTTCTGCAATATTTTCTTCAGCACTTAGAAGTGAACTGAGTTGTCGTTGCTGAGTTGACCTGTCATACATGAAGGCAGCTGAAACAATTACAATATTACAATAAAAAAATGCTTGGTTTTATTTGTAGTAAAGAGAAAGGGTTATTACCATAATTTTTTTAATGATGAATAAAAGGTAACAGTTTAGAATTTTTAAGTTAAGTAAATTACTGAAATTAAGAATGAACATTTTGGGACAAAAAACATTTTTATTCAAGCTTGATATTTATATGTACCTTATGCAGGGCAGGAAGGATGTCTTACCCTAAAAGTAATCATTCTATTCTAGCCCGAGTAGGAAGGTCGAGATTCAGATTATTTGTTGTTCTGGGTGACCTTTTTTAATTTCTTGAAACAGAGATGTTGAAAAAAAATTCAGTACAGTTCTAGAACGTCCTCCGTTGTTGAATCTTCTTCCTCTCAGCGTGAAGATGCCTTAATCATCCTGGTCAATACATTTTGGCTAGGGCCAATACCTTCATGGAATCCACCTATTTTCCTCTTTTCTCTTCTAATTGAGCCTCATTACCCATCCAAAGTATCCTCGGTATGCCTCCTGGTCTTTCGTCAGTTGGTCTAGCTTCGAAGAAATTGTTAGGTCTAAGATTTTTGTCCATTAGCATACATTTCGGAACCATTTTAGTTACTTCTTCTCTAGTATCTCAGTTAAAGGGTTACACCCCTAACTCCTGTAATATTCAGTTATTTGATAACTGATATTCCTAAGCAGAATGAAGCCAGAAGAGATTCTATGAAAGTAGCTAAAAGAAAAGCTCAAAAAAACGACAAAAACCTGAAGACCTAGATCAGGTGGCTAGTTGTGTGAACAATGATGCTATAAAAATCCTTGGCCTCAGAAACTAGAAAACAGTAACAAAGAATAATGTTCACCGCTGGAGGGCACTGACTCAACCCAAGTTGTAAAGACAGGAAGTAACTTAAAGTATATAATTACATGCAAAGCCAACTCCATCTACAAAATTGTCATTTTTTGTTCCTTTTTTGGTTAGGACATTATTTACACCTACAAAAAAAATACAAGGGCCATTGGTCTAGGATAGACAGAGCAAACTTAGATGAATCTAAGATTTGCAGTATATAGTATGGTACCGCATATTTGAATCAACAGTCCATGATATACTATCTTCTTCTTGATTAGACATGGGCTAGGTTTATTAGCCGATGGGTCTTATCCCACTATATTTCTAAATACTAAAATATAATGATGGATGGACATTGAGAACATATAATACTATTTATAATCAAGAGGTTAGGAATAGGTTCAAATCTTTTGGATGCCCTTTATCAAGTAGTAGGAATGATTTGGCAATGACATAGTGAATGTTTTTTTCGCATATCATGACAAGATTTGCCTAAATTTTTAATCTTTGATTTTTCTAATTAAACTTGTGATAAAATGAATTCTTTATCTTAAAGAATTAATTTCTTATGATAAGATGAAAAATGCTGATCATAATACAAATAGGTCATAATATATAAATCAGCTTCTCGAGATCCCTTCGGACAATCAGGTAGAGGGGCACATGACAAGCAATCAGCAACATTTTCCTGGGATCTGACCCATTTAGTCTTGTAAGTATAGTAGGCCATTATCAATGCCCACCTTTGCAATCTGATTGCTGCATACATAGGTATTCCTTTTTTGAGTCTAAATATTGAGAGTAGAGGTTTGTTATCATTTACCAAAATAAATTTCCTTCCATATATAAATAGATGTGAAATTTTTTCACTCCAAAACTCAAAACTACTTGATTTGAGAGAGTGCAAAGTTCTGTATACCTGGGCTCAGAAATAAACACTCAAAATGACATAACCCAGGAGATCAACCAAAGAATTGCCGCAGCCAATCGAAGCTATTTTGGGCTAGCAAAATACTTCAAAAGCAGACACCTCTCCAACAAGACCAAGATCGGCCTATATAAGACCCTGATATAAGACACCTCCTTGTGGTGTTTGAACGGAAGATATTGAGAAGAATTTTTGGCCCGGTTCGAGTGGGAGACACCTGAATAAGGAGGAAGAAGCAGGAACTTTCGAGACTGTACCAAGATCCTGATATCATCAAGTGGATCAAGATTGGGAGACTTCGATGGGCGGGCCACATTGCAAGGATGAAGGAGAACGAGATCCCTAAGAGAACATTGGCTGAAGAGCTTCATGGCAAGCGAAGAGTGGGTAAGCCAAATGTGAGGTGGGCTGACTCCGTCACAGAGGACGCATGCAATCTCCTCGGCGTTAGGAACTGGAGAGCTGCAGCAACAGATAGAGCCAACTGGTGGAGACTTTTGGAGGAGGCCTAGATCTGGTTAACGGGTTGTTGCACCAACTATGTATGTATGTACATACCTTCCTGCACTAATCTTTCCAATTCAGCATCTACTTTAGCCCCCATGGCAAAAAGCAGAGGTGTTGCTTTTATAAACTTGGGTTTGACGCTCGATTTTAATTCTAATGTTATCGTACCAGCTGTAAAAACTCCAAACTGATCATAAAACACCTCTGAATAACAATGTGTGACTTCATCCCACAAAGTTGTTTCCTCATTACTAAAAAATAAAGATTTTGTCTCATAGCTATTCATAATTTTAAATCCACGTTCTTCAAACCATTTTCATCCAAGAATGGAAGGACCATCAGATTGCAACACATATTATTTCTGATTTGAGTATATGCGGCCATTATAGTCCATATACACGTTAACACTGCCAAGTGGTGCCCACCTTTCCTGAAAATATGAGACAAACGTCTTCTTTGCAATTCCCAATTTTAAGCCAGGCAGTTTCTCCTTAACAAGTTTAAGAGGCAAAGTAGTGCTTGAACAACCAGTATCTATCTGAAATACTACATCAACCTTGTTGATTTTTAGGTTCACCTGATATCCCGATTCCTGGAGAACTGTTAATTTTATATAAGTATTCGAGATAAGAAGATACATCCTCCTCTATATAGTGTGATCTTTCTTTCAACCCTTGGTTGTTCAGTTGCATTCTATCCAACTTACACACACGAGCTAGGTGGCCTATTTTCTGACAATTATTGCAAGTATATTCCCTCAAATGGCGTCATGAACCACTTTACCACAAATGCTACATTTGTTTAGATATATTTTCTTAGTTTGACCCCAAGAGGATGACGGTCTATCTTTTTCTCTACTAACAAAGTGCACAGGTTCCTTTTTAACCACTACATCTAAATTATACTGTCTAAATGTATCATCTTTTGCAATAGCTATTTCTATACCCTTATGCATTGACATACTCTCAGGATTCTCATCGAACAGCCGATCCCTTAATGGCCCTTTATTCATACCTATACCAATTTTATCTAACATAATAAAATCTAAATAATTGTTGAAAGCACAATGGGAAACCAGATTCAGAATGTGGGCAACCTATTCATTTATTGATTCAGACTCTTATAGAATCTGTAACAGGCTCCAAAAAGTGATTCAAATGGGCCAAAATATTCATCAAATAATTTTAAAAGTTCTGAACACGTTAAACCTTTTGGTTCCTTGGGAACACTTAATGTCGTTATAAGCTTAAAAGTTTCATCATCCAACGAATTAAGAAATAAATCATGCCTTTAGCTTCGTTTTAGATACTATTTGCATCAAAAAAGCTTTCTCTTCATGGATTGTATTGAGTCCATTCCACATTCATGGAATACTTTCTGAGTACACCTATGATTGGCAACGTAACTGTCTCTGTGTGCTTTACTGACGATTTATCAGGAGGTGACATAATGATAAATAGTATTCACATACCTTGAGGAACCCATCTTCGTTGCCAATGTAATGTATCAATGACTTTACAGTAAATCAAACACAAACAATTTCCATTTATTATTCATAATTACATCTGTGATCGTAATAATCAAAAAGAACATGTCTGATTCCAAACAGATTAAATACTAAATCGATTTAGTATTTAACCTTTTAACAAAAGATTAATATGCAACACATATCTATACAAAATGCATAAATCAACAAATATTTATGAAATGAACAAAGGACGGAAATATGCTAACTCAATTTAATGATGGGACAAAGGTTTGATAATTAACAACAAATCTCACCTCTTCATCATAAAATTTACTAACTTACATCAAATAACAGTAAAGATTTAAAAATCAAGGAAATTACCTTCACTGGGAGAAATACTGTAGTCATCTTCCACAGAATGACCATAAACATCATCATAACCATCGTACTCTTAAAAAAAAAATTGAATAAAATAAATGCCAATGAAAAATGAAATGTCTAGTTAAAAACATATTTAGCAATCCATACCATCAGAATATCTCATTGACCTTACATTTCGATGTCGCGACATTTTCGTAATTAGATTAAACAGAAAGGAATAATTAAGCAATTATGTCACAAGAGTTTGTCAAACGAAACTTAAACAATACAACAGATAATGTCATTCTACATAAACGAGTATACTGTATACTTCTATTGAGGAGAGGTTTCAAGGCTGCTTTCGTAGACTCAGATGTTTTCAAATTTCGTCAGATATTTATAACCTTTTCAGTCACAACTATCTCGCTTATTACTAAAAATGGTTGCTGACTCGTTCCCCAGTAATTCGGTCAGATTTTTGTTTTACAAATCTAAAAAAAAATAATCATGGAATTTTTACAAGTTTGCCCTATTCATAAAAGCAAACAGTTTATCCTGGAATGCTGTGATCTTATAAATTCAGAATGGCCCAGAAGTAAAGCTGCAAGGTATAATTATTTTATTATTGAATACAGGATTTGTTGTTATGGTTATGATACTAATTCAATCATTTAGGCTACAGAGTTTATACATGTCCTCAGATAAATTCCCTACATCCCTTGTGTTAATTTTGGATGAACAACAAGTGGTTGGACATGTAAAGCTTTCTGAGATAAAACTTGGTGGAGATGAATTAATGATTGAAACTAGTGAGTATGAATATTGTTAATCATTAAATATTTTGGTTATGATGAATGTGATTTTTTCAATCTTGGATGTTTCATATATTTGTTTGTTTTTAGTGATCATACATAGGGAGCATCGTGGTAAAGGATGGGGAAAACTTCTTATGGAAGAAGCTGAAGAATATGCTCAAAGGTATTAATTAATTCATATTTAATGTTGTATATGTTAACTCATCACACAAAGGAAAAATTCATCAAATTATTCATTAATTTAATTTTCTAATGGTTATATGACGATTTTTCGGAATAAACCGACATTAATACATAATTATTTAAATATATCTTCTTCTTCTTAATCGTTTCCTCTTCTACTGCTGAGCGGTGTGAGGAAAATATAATATTAGATCTAGAATTATTAAACTACAGTGAATGTAGTTAAGGTTATGTTTTATACATCCACGAAATATTTGTATATCTTACTTCTTCTTTCACACAAGTACAATGAAACAGTTTTTTAAACAATGTCATTGCCTTGATTAGGTGGATTTTAAATACTTTTTTTTGTCACTTTTGACATCAATGAGGATAACACCTAGGGGATATTAAAGACCACTTAATTCTACAACCATGAGCCGATCTTTAGGAAAAAGTTGCTGTAACATCGCAGCCATATACCTATCTTAAATACGTAATATCAGTTTTGTACGACTTTTCTTTTGAGCTAAACTGTTCACATACACACACGCATACCATTTTGGGGGATTTGGTTATTTGGACTCAGGAGACATCAAAACATGTATTTTTGTTGAAAACTCAGATTCGAAAATTTTCACAACTGCATTTCTTTCCTTTACTATATATAGATTGGTAAGTGAAAGTGATGAAGACCTCCTCATAGGAAATTCATTCTACCCACACAAAAGAATTCATAAAATTACTTTCTCGTGCTTGGAGCGAAATAGTATAATTGACTATTTTACATATGACCGACATATTAGACAATATTTCGCTGATGTTAAGATCGTGAGAGGAGCAGATATAGGCAGTGACCACCTCCTACTTGTGGCTGATACAAAGATCGTTATAGATAGTAAAAGAAAAGCGAAGGCATTTAAGACCCTGAATATAGCCTTGGATGATCCCGAAAAGAGGTTCCTCTACACGAAGAATTTAGAAGATAAATTAAGAGCAACAACTTTCGACTGAGGCGTAGAAGATATCTGGAACAAATTAAAGTCATGTATTCTGGAAGTTGTAAATGCTGTATGTGGGATGAGGAAGGTATCTGGTAAGGGAAAGCGGACTGACTGGTGGACCGAGGACCTTCAACGAACAGTTGCTCGGAAAAAGCTTGCCTGGAAAGCATACCTTCAAGATAGAAACGAGGAAAAGCTACAAAACTACCGAACAGCCAGGAATGAATGCAAGGCAGCCGTGAGCCAGGCCAAGAAACCTTCGTGGGAGGATTTTGCTAAAAACCTGAGTGAAGACCATCGTAAATCCAAAAGATCTTTTTGGCGAAAAATTAAATTTTTAAGAGGAAAGAAATACAAGCCCATCAGAAATGTAAAGGATAGCGATGGATCCCTGCTTACTGACAAGGAAGAGATCCTGAACAGATGGAAACAACATTTTCAGGAACAATTCTCTGAAAATCCAGCAATACGTCACTGCCAAGAACGAGAGCACTCTACTCTAGAAAGCCTAGAGGTAATAGAAGACGCAATTCAGACTAAAAGCAGGAAAGGCACCGGGAAGGGATGGTATCGCCCCAGAATGTTTGAAATATGGTGGAAATGAACTCCTTAAAGTCCTTCAAAGGCTCTTTCAGGAAGTATATGATAGAAAGAAAATTCCCAAGGATTGGGAATATAGCATAATCCTTCTAATTCATAAAAAAGGCAGTTCAACGAACTGCAATAACTATAGACCCATCAGTCTGCTCTCTGTGGTCTATAAATTATATACCTCTATATTAGAAAGGAGGCTCCGGCGGATTGTGGAGGGACAGCTGGAAGGTGAATAGGCTGGCTTCTGTCCTGGCCGGCAGACTCAGGACCATATCTTTGTTCTTAGAATCATCGCTGAAAAGGCCTGGGACAGAAACAAAAACCTGTACCTGGCATTTCTTGATCTAAGGGCAGCGTTTGACTAAGTTCCTAGGAAAGAAATTTGGAACGCTTTGGTTGCCAAGGACGTGCCTGGAGATTTGATTGAGGCCATGAAATCAACCTACCAGGGAGCCACTGGAGTGGTAAGGATAAATGGCACAGAATCAGAACCTTTCCCAATTGCGAGAGGAGTCAGACAGGGAGATAGTTTAAGCCCCCTCCTGTTTATAAACTTCATGGACGAGATCCATAAAATCTGCAAGCGTCGGACTGCATGGACTACAATTGGAAACTGGAATATGAGAACTGTCCTCATGCAGAGTTTTTTGTATGCGGATGACATTGTGCTCATCGCCGTTTCCAAGACGAAAATACAGCAAGCACTGGTAGAATGGGAAGAAGAGCTGCTGAGGAAAGGTATGCAACTAAATGCCTCCAAAATTAAAGTGATGATTATGGCGAGAGAAGAAGAGGAAGACGTCCAATTGGTTTGCAACAGAGAAATTCTTGAGGTAGTAAAGGAGTACACATACTTAGGTACCATAATTACTAATGCTGGTAAGATAGATGCTGAGATTTCGTATAGAATATCTAAGGCGAATCAAGTATATCACCAGATCGCTAGCAGTATCCTCAGCTGCCGTGAAGTATATAAAAATACCAAGATGCACGTCTATAAGTCTGTATACCTTCCTATTCTCACCTACGGCAGAGAAATTTGGACTATGTTGGACAAACATAGTCGCATAACAGCAGCGGAAATGCGATTCCTATGTAGATCGGTGGGCAAAACTAGGAGGGATCGCATTAGAAATGAAACTATCAGAGAACAGCTGGAAGTGCCTGAACTCAAAACCACCTTGGAGAACAGGCAATTAAGGTGGTTTGGACATGTCTGCCGCATGAACGAGGACATGGACCCTGTAAAGATATTAGAGGCTCGACCCACAGGGAAGAGGCCACGAGGGCATCCCAGTCTCATATCAGGAGTTCATGGAGAGAATCGGAGGTAGAAGAGGCAAATCCTTTAACCAAATGAAGCGGTTAAGCAGAGGAAGGGTGGCTGCGTTGGATAGAGGCTCCTCGACGCTAGAAATGGCATTGTGAGGAAGGCAAAGAAGAAGAAGAAGGTAAGTGAAAGTAAAAAATTACTTGTTATACAACCTTATAAATATTATTTAATGTTATATTTAAAGGGTGAACACCAATATGATTTATGTAACAAGCCTGTACTGCTTTATACATTAAATAAATTCTATCTATCTATTTATACAATTCTTTTTTTTCTTATCAAATACTATTTTGGTACTAGTTCACAAGAGTTCTGCACGGATTACGCATGGTTCACAATCACTTCGGTCACACTTGTTCCTGAAATCCTGAATGCGTTCGGGTTTATCCGAAAGAGAACGAAGGTGACCGATCTCTTGGGCCAGTTACTATTAACTTTCCCGCTATTTAAGTACTTCTATAACCTTAACCATGTTCAGTTATATAGCAGGACCCGACTTACATTCGAAATTTAGGCTACACATCATGAAACCTGAATTGAACTTTACATATATTATAGATCTGTAAAAAAGAAATAGTAATAGATAAAAATATTTAATTATTACATCTCTGAATGCTATTTCACGATGTTATTTTACTTATTGATGATTTTCATTCTTCATTATCTTGGAATTATCAGTATATTCATAAATCTTTAATCCATTATTTTCATAAAAAGCGTCCTTGACAACTTAATTGTAGACTCTTATACCTAAGAAATCCAAAAATCTACAAAAAATCGACGAACAATTTTAAATCCGACAGAATATTCATAAAAAGCTCCGACGACTAGAAAATAGTTGATCCGTATATCTAAGAATTCAAAAAAGTTAAATAAACTTGATGCTTAATCTCAAATCAGACAGTATATGCATACAAAAAATCTTTTAACTATGTTAATTCCATAATCTTTTAACTATATTAATTCCATAATATACTGATAATTATGTAAAAAATCTTTTACACACAGTTATAAAAGATAATATAAAGTATATGCGTATTTACAGCCACTAGCACGTGTCAATAAAAATGTTATTTCTAAAAGCATTTTTTTTTAATAGGCCTTGAAGAAACAACTCAAACATTATTTTATGTATTTTTTTCTTTTTCTTTCACAGTGATAACCGTTATAATAAAAATTAATAATTAACTAATTAGTGAATACACAATTCGTTAATAAATTGTTAATAAGGAAGTTCCATGAAGGGAATATTTTTTTTTTTTTTTTTTTTTTTTTTCAAAAACGCATGAATAGGGGTTGTGTGATGGGGCAATAGCTGACGTCATAAAAGAGGACAACATTTGGCTGATTTCGGGATTCCATGAACAAGTGTGATCGAAGTGATTCTGAATCACGCGTAATCCGTGCAGAACTCTTGTGAACAAGTACCTCAAAATACATGTACTTTAGAGGAATCTATTTTGAGCTTCTCTATTTATATGTATATAATACCTGCTTGATATTAAGATCGCATGATTTTACATTTGTATAACAAGTTTAATCAAAATCGTTAGAGCCGATTTTGAGGAAGTTGTAAAATCGGTTAAATAAAGTTCCACTTAACCCCGGTAACCCAATTTTGGAAAAAAAAGTTGCTGTAACATCCCAGGCATATACATATCTTAAATATGTAATTTGTTTTGTACAACTTTTCAGTTTTGAGCCAGGCTGTTCACACACACATACAATATCTGGAGACTTGATTATTTGGTCTCAACGAATCTTAAAACAACATGTATTTCAGTTGAAAACTTGATTTAATTTTTTTTCATGATTGCAATACTTTCTTGATGGAAAGTATATTTAGTAATCTATATATTACATATGTTGATAAGTGAAACTAGGAGACCATAATGACCAAGGGTGTTAAGGGCATCATCACTTTAGCAACCTCAAGTCTATAACTAGTGCTATTATTATTATTAGTGCTATTATCGCATTAAACTCCTGCCGTTACCTCCTGGCAAGAGAAAACCCCTGTATAGCCTAAATGTGAGGAAGGGAGGAAAAAAAAAAAATGATTTTATTAAT